GGTAGAGCTACTTTAACCCTAGTCTGATCACCTGACGGTAAAATGTGACTTTAGTCACCTTCGCGGGAGAGTGCCGCCGTGTTATTTAGGCTCCAGCGCTGCCGAATCCACTCTACACTTCCCGGGCGCGTTTAGCGAGTTCCCAGCAACGTCGCGCAACAGGCAATTTCATTAAACACGGGATAAAATTGTTCACCTGTTGGAAATAATTTTTTTTCTCCCAGAATTAAGGATATAATATTGAAAAAAAAAATACTAGAATTTTCCAGATACTTCAATTGACGAATTCAATTTTTCTCAAATTTTTCCGGTCAACCAGTCGATGGCAAGGTGAATAAAACGGCGTGTTGTGGCAATTCCCTCGCATGGTGACCAGTCTAGGGTTAAGGCCAGAGTGGATTATCTTTCGAATGTTATCTTGATTATTTTTCTATTTTCATCATGTAAAATATATCACAATTTCCATTGGATTTTACATCACGCAGGAGTCCCTAAAAATTATGATTGTACAATCAAAAAAAGGTACAAAAAAACTGAACATTTTCAAAGAGCGTTTTTAAAAAAGATTAAGAAATAAGTCCGATGGAGGGGAAATAGTGAGTGGATAATTTACCATGGTAACAAACGATCTGACAGCCATTACATACATCAAATTATTAATTTGCAATTTCCTCTCTATTGAGTTTATGTCCCAATATTATTCAAAAACGCTCTTTGAAAATGTTCAGCTTTTTCTCAACGTTTGTTTGATTGAACAATGAACAATCATGATTTTTGGAGACTCCACGGCTATGTAAAACTGAATAGCAATTGGAGATCATTTCAGATTTTCAAAATGAAAAAAAAAAAAAAAAAAAAAAAAAAAAAAAAAAAAAACAAACAAGATCACGTTCAAAAAATGATCCACCCGGGTCTTCAATTGTGCAATTTTTTTTTCATTCTATTTTTTGCGAATTTTCATGTAACAAAAACTTTAACAGAAAAACGTATCGAAATCGCTAGAATTCTATTGGATTTCTATTGAGTTTTCTACTAGTTTTTGGATGATTCTATTGAAATGTTTGATAGACAATACTCAATAGCAAAAATCCAATGGAATTCGATTTTTCTATACAACTTATTGTATTGAGATATTTTCTACAGAATTTCTTCGGTTCAAATTTTCGGAGTTTTTTTCATTCTATTTTTCTTTTTTGTTTCATCAAGAAAATCAAACAAAAAAACATGAAAAATTTGAGCAAAGAAAATTCTATAGAAAAATAAGTTGAATAGAAAAATGAAATTCTTTCAACTTTTTCTATGTAATATTTTCAATTGAACATTTCAATAGAATCGGCCAAAAACAAATGGAAAGTTGAATAGAAATCCACTAGAATTGTCTATTAAGGGGAGACTACTATGAGTTTTAAAAGTCGTGGGTTATTGGAGTGAGACATTTCATATGTTGAAAATTAATTATATAGATCTGAAAATGAATAATTAAGGTAAATGACCCTACGCTCGTCTAGCTAAGGTGAATCCGAACTAATTACATCGTGAGTATCCTATTTTGTGATAAAACAACATTAAAAAATATCTCGATGCACAAAATTATATTTCCATTGGACAGTCCAACCTTTTAAATTATTTTTTCATCCGTTTAGTCCGTTACCAGTTGACAGTTGGGTGCAAAACGAGCGTAGGATCAATGCCATTTTCATTGTACCTATTCTTTTAATTGGCAATATTTCAGTGAAATATCCGGATATTACTCTAATTTATGCATTTTTATTAAATTTTTAACTATTCGAAACCTTAGCCAAGGGATTTTTAATTCCATTTTACTATTGTAACGGAGATATCAACGTTTTAAAATTGAGAGTTTCTTAACTTGTAGCTTAAGAATTAACTCTGTCGTAGCACGAGTTGATGTGAATGTGATTTTTCTCTTATTNATCCGAACTAATTACATCGTGAGTATCCTATTTTGTGATAAAACAACATTAAAAAATATCTCGATGCACAAAATTATATTTCCATTAGACAGTCCAACCTTTTAAATTATTTTTTCATCCGTTTAGTCCGTTACCAGTTGACAGTTGGGTGCAAAACGAGCGTAGGATCAATGCCATTTTCATTGTACCTATTCTTTTAATTGGCAATATTTCAGTGAAATATCCGGATATTACTCTAATTTATGCATTTTTATTAAATTTTTAACTATTCGAAACCTTAGCCAAGGGATTTTTAATTCCATTTTACTATTGTAACGGAGATATCAACGTTTTAAAATTGTGAGTTTCTTAACTTGTAGCTTAAGAATTAACTCTGTCGTAGCACGAGTTGATGTGAATGTGATTTTTCTCTTATTATTCAATAAATCACTCTGCATTGGTTTCTATAACTTTTCTTATTGACTAAAATAATAACTCCAATCGTACTTCACTCTTAATAGACTCTTGGGACTACCAAAATGATTGAAATGTCATAGCTGGCAGGATCTGAACGAGCGTAGGGACAAAGACGGGCATTGGTACATTTACCTTAGTGCACAAAAAATTTTTTTTTATTGTTCTTTTGCCCGAAAACGCTTAAAATAGCAAAAACAGTCCAGGGCCTCCAATTTTTGAGCTACGAAGGATTTTTTTTTCAAAATTTTCGGAAAAATATGTGGTATAACAATTACGAACTAGTTTTTTTTTTTATTCGTCTCGTACATGGCTAAATTTGCTTTTTTGTATTTTTTTACACAAATAGTGAATTTTTTTGTATGAAAAAAACCGAAATCAGCTGTATAGGAATTCCAAAAAACTGACTCGTAATTGTTGTTCCACACATCTCCGAAAATTTTGAAAAAAAAAAAAATCTTTTGTAGCTCAAAAATTTGAGGCTCTGGACGACTGTTTTCAGCATTTTAAGCGTTTTCGGGCAAACGAACAAAAAAAAAATTTTTTTTTGCACCAATTATTCGTTTTCAGATCTATATAATCGATCTTCAACGTATGAAAAGTCTCACTCCAATAACCCACGACTTTTAAAACTCACAGTAGTCTCCCCTTAAATCTTTTCGTACGTGTAAACTCATCAATTGAGCACAAAAAGGGTGAATTGTGCTTTACGAGGAAAGAAAATTTATCCCGTTTCACAACATTTGAATGAATTATAAACACATAAAAAAAGTCGAGTGTCCGTATTGCCCCACTCTTCCCTAAAACCTACATTCATGAAGTCTACATTTGACCTGTTCGGATGCATTTTATGACTTTTCTCTTGGGTTGCACACCGGGAATCATTCGTGTGATTAATTTCACTCGATTACCGTAGTAATTCTGTGATGAATTGCAGGGAGTGGGTTGAGAACTACTGTGATAAGGAGCGCAGCCAGCATGGGTTTGTTTTACGACATATACGGGCTGCTGAGGGCGAGTTGTGATCGTTAAAAGTAGATGGGGACCGATCGATTTCAATCGTGGGTGTGTGCAATTATTTACATCGTATGGAAATTCTACATCCACACGAACTTCCCATTCGAGAGACAATTTGTCAAGTGGAAGACAGAAAAAATATTTTCGTTTTCACAGCAATTTAGGATGATTTGATTTCCTTTCAATCACACTTCTCGGAGAATATCTTAAAGGCTGAGAGCGATAACAAAATTATCATGCAAACTTTTTCTATACACAAAAAAAAACTTCATTTTGAGACTTATGATCTTAAATTTTAGACTTTTGAAAGTCTGAAATGGAGATTTTCAAAAGTTTCAAATTGAGATTTTCAAAAGCCTGAAGTTGAAATTTTCAAAAGGTTCAAGTTGAGACTTACAGAACTTCCCTGAAGGATATCCAAGTATCTCTATAGATTCAACCATTTTCAATTATCAAATTTGTCAATTCAGTAGCAAAACAGTAAAACGATTCAGCTGAGTTGTTGAGAAATATCTCCGAATCTGAGGGAGATGGCGAAATTTTTGTAATGACCTTTTTTGTAGAGCGATTTGAGAGCTACAAGAAAGATTTTAACAACATTTTTACTATCTGCCTTAGATTCCGAGATATTTATTGAAAATTGGCCAATAATCCAAATCGACTTGAACAGTTTTGCCGCTTCGCTAGTAAAAAAACGAATTTCAAGATGAGTTAACCTCAGTGCAATGTCAGCCTTTGAAAAATATCTTCCACTCCAAAAAAGATAACGTACATCCATTAGAATCTTTTTTATCAAAATTTATCGTCTCTCTTAAACCCAACGAAATCCATCGAGAACTGATTTGATTAAATAATTAACCCTCAAAAATATAAAGTTATTAATTGAATCAAATAAATAGATTTATTTAAATTTAAACTACGTTTTTATTTGCGTTATTATGCCCATCAAATGAATAATTATTTAATTATAAACCAATTTTCTCTTGATCCTAATCACTACTTTATGAGTTAAAAATTAAATCATTGTTTAAATAGGCGAAGAAAAAAAATTTTGCTTCATTATAAGAAGTTATAAATTATATAATAATATTATGTAAATATTAATTATCAATTATAAATTCAGTACAAATTCTTCTTCAACTCGTCAATTTATCCGATTCTGATAGAGGATTCATCTGAATGATTTATTTATTTATTTCACATAATTGAAATATTTTCGAGTCTCAAGATATATAATTTCTCTCAATCATAATTTTTTACTCGACCAAAATAAATAATGGCACTGAACTGCGCACTCGTGAAAAATCGTAAATCTCCTCTCCTATATTATTATTTGTATTTCCTGTGTTTTTTTCGTTTTTCCTCTCCTTCCCCTCAATCCCTCGTTCGTGTGACACGCAACGTGCACACCGAGCGATTCCTCAGACCGGAGGGGAAAAAAATCCAGTTTGCCGATACGCAGGTTTAGAAACTAATGACGAGTTTGAAAATATTATCACTAGTGTATGTGGGTACTCATAAATAATCCCGGGTGTAGTGAATAGGAAAGGTCACAGAGAAAAAAAAAGTTTCTTGTTTTCAGTAAAAATCTGGATTTATGTGCTCTGTCACCCAGAAAAATGATTCATTTGAATTAAATAAACCATTTACTTGATTCGAAGAAAATTTATTTAATTTAAATAAGCCATTTTCTTCACTTGTGCGTAAAGCCAAATTTTACGCACGTTCCGCAAACGCAAAATCCCATGAAAAATAGGGTTCGACACTCGTGGGAAATGTTCTTTGACGTTTGGGAGGATAAAACTCGTTGTTGGTGAGGGCTACACACCTCCTACGGGTCAAAAATAGTATATTTCGTCATTAGCCCGAAAAGTTTTTTTTTGGCCGTATAACGAACAATATTTTTTGTCATGGCGGCCGGAATGACAAAAAAAACTATTTCTGACGGCTACGATTGCAGCCCTCGCCTTCGGCTCGTGCTGCAAACCTCATATTCGCCAGAAAAGTTTTTTTCGGCCTAATGACTAGGCCCCATAAACCGCGATTTTAACCTCACTTCGCTCGGTTAAATCGCGGTTTTCGGGCCTAGTGTCGAAATGTACTAGTTCGATACACGGCCGCGAAGAACTTTTCTAGCGAATAGGAGGTTGCAGGCTGAGCCAAGGGCAAGTTCTGTAATCATATGAGGTAGAGAAATTCCTCACGGTCTAGTGTCGAAATGTACTATTCTATAGTATATTTTGATACGAGTGTGTAAAAGTGTTTTTGCTACGTTTCCAAGGGTCAAAGAACACTTTTTCGTGAGAAGACCCGGTAAACCGCGATTTTAACCTCGCTTCGCTCGGTTTGATCGCGGTTTACGGGCTTTCTGACGAAAAATTGCATTCATCACACGGTCCAAAAGTATTTTTTGACGAATGTGATTATAGGCCTTGCCTTCGGCTCGGCCTACAAAGCCACATTCGTCAGAAAATACTTTGTGGACCTTGTGGTGAAAATAACTATTTCCACTTGTGTCGAACCCTATTTTTTATCACAATGTGTGGAAAGTGGGATTTTGCGCGGAGAGTGCGTAAAATTTCACTTTACGCACAAGTGATGAAAATTCAATTTTTGCAACAGAAAATTTTCATCTCAGGACAGTCTTCAAATGGTCAGCACTAGATATAATTTCTTAAATAATTTTCAACTTGCGATTTTTTGGTTCAGACAAGACTTGTTTAAGGAAATATTTCTTTTTTCCTCAGTGTAGGACCTTTTTCTCTCCGTAGTGAGTAATTATGACGCTTGCAAAACCTTTCATTCTTCTGGAATAATTTACTCAAATGCGATATAAAAACGTATTGAATATGTATACAATACATCTGCATGCTTGTATGTCTTGTATAGCTTACCATCCTTGATCATCCTCTGAATAACATTAATCATATCCTGAACCTCCTTAACGTGAAAATCATTCTCTACATCAGCTGCAATTCCAAAATCTGATGATAACTCTGGTCAAGGATAAATAGCACTTGAAATCAATGGTTTATGCCCTCAACGATGATAATCACCGTTTATTTACTCTGCGATGACATAACAAAGTCCGTAATGACCTGGGAAACGTCGGATTTCCACCAGAGAATTTGCCGACATAAAATGAATTTGTCCTCTAGATTACCCCGACAAAAATCCGGAAGACATTTCGCTCACCGGCAGTGACTTTCCCTTCATTTTATTGCATGTGATCAATCAATCAACATCCCGAATATCCCGTTTTGTCCATTTAAATAACAGCAATTATAATGAAAATTCAAAGATCGAAATTCAACTGCGTATCGTTGAATTTCTCACTGTGCAGTATCGTCAACGGTTTATGACCTTTAATCCGGCACTTGTGGTGATAAGAATTGCACCATATTCTGACCGGCCTTTTCACGGGTACAGAAACTAACCGAGACTGACGATCTTCGTTGACCTGAAGCGTCAACAAACACTTGGAGATGAAAAAGCGCTGTGAGAAGATAAGTTGAAAACAAATGGATTTCCAAAATATTTTGTCAACATTATGAGGAGACGAGGTTTACAAAAATTGTTGAGCAACTTTTTTTGTGGAGCATTTTGGTTTCTTATAATGAAGGGCTTTTGACATTTCTTTTTCAAATTTAATATAGTTGAGATTTCATTTAAGGATAATCTGGCGAGCCCGGAGGGTTAGAAAAAAAGCAGCCATTTTTCTCTTTTATTTTTTACGTATTCTTTAAATGATGGAAAAGGCGTGTGCAAAGTTTCAGACTGCTGGGGAGCATGGTTAATTTATTATGAATTTTTGAAAAAGTGGTCATTTAACCCGTGATCTTATGGAAATCACAAAAAAAACTGCAAAACCCAAGAAAAAAATGCAGCCAAAGTCATGAAACTTTAGACACATTTAGAATATGTGATCAATGATTTTTTGAGTGAAAAAGATTGTCGCCTAGGAGCATTGTTTATTAATAATAGCGAAAAAAGTACTGAAAAATGAAATTTCTGCGCACGTAGCCCAAAGGAGCGCAGCAACGTCCCAAAAAAGTACCGATCGGGTGGAGGTAGCGCGGTCAATTTAAATGTCTCTTGAGAGAGAGCGATGAAGCGTTGTGATTGGAGCTCCCTCGAGCACAGCGGTACCAGCTCCTGGTGAAAAAAAAACTACCGACGATGTTGCCACTTTTTCGCATGGATTAATATTTTTTCATTTATTAAAAAAAAACAATCTGAAAATCATTCAATGCGTGGAACAGATACAAATAAATTTGATTAGCTCCAAAAATAATTTTTAACCGGAGATACTCCCTAATATTGCCTGAATTTTGAATCCGAATGGGAAAAATTTTTTTGTTCAGCGATTGGTTTTCTGCCGGAAAACAATACAAAACCCCTCCGCCTCACCTCCTACATTTCCTCCTCGCCCGATTATCCTTAAGATACCTCTCTGTAATATATCTCGAGCACTGAGCGCTCGAGGCCTACCCCCACTCCCGGCACTGTTATCGCCTCCCGAATGTTTAGTTCCGTGGACTTCTTATAAGATACCTATGGTCTCGATCATTTTTCAACGGGAAAAGAGTGGTTATAAGGATCAAACGGAGTTAAGGGTCAAACGGGAGGGACAAATGAAGGGATCATAAGGGTCAAAAGTTCAAACGTGAGAGTCAAGGGAAGCAATCAGAAGGGTTAAACCATCCCAAGGGTCAACTCTTTTCTTCGAAGCTATACTTATTAAAGTGGTGACGCAGAATTGTCTTGACGATGTTCAAACGATGACGAAATGTAGGAGGTGAGGCGGAGCGAAACCTATTGTATTCCTGCAGAAAACCAATCCCTGAATACGAAAATTCGGTTCCCTTCAATTAAATAATACGGCCATATGTAGACTCTTCTGTAATCAAATAATATTTTTTTTTAACTATTCAATTTTTTTCCTACACCCATGCTTTAAAAAAAATTTTAATGCAATTTTAATAATAAATGGAAAATAATTAATTTGTGTAAAAAAAGCGGCAACGTCGGCCCGACGCCAGTTTTTTTCATCATCAGAGTTGGTCGGCCTGCCACTCTCTATGAAGGTTCTCACTGTACAATCGTCACGCGTATAAACACATGTAAATTTTTTCCATCGTTATACGTTTATCCAAAAAATTCATTACCCATGGCGTTATAATTTACTATCGACAAGCAAAATAATAGTAAATGAATCCCAGGATCTCTCTTTGAAGTGAGGACTCACGAATGATTCCTACATGAGTGACAGTGCCTAGTGTTGTCTCTGTATTCGGCATAACCTCAAACAGAGATCACTGCAGAAACAATGGTTTCTCTCAAGGGAAAGCGTGTTAAAGAGAAAAAATTTCATGAATTTTATTGATATCTATAATCGTGGAAATTATCTTCGGATATCATGAAGTCCACAACGGTCCTTTATTCATTTTTGCATTTACCGCGTTTACCCCCATCCGATCGGCAAGTGCTACGTTGCCGCAACTCACAGCTGCGCGCGCAGAAATTCAGATTTTTAGTGTTTTTTTTGTCAATTTTGGCTAAAAAACGAATCCAACCGATGTTTTTTTGTTTGCAAAAGATGTATTTATTAATATGTCATACGTGGACGAAGTTTCGTGACATTGGCTGAATTTTTACATTCAGTCTATGCATTTTTCCACATTCTCCATAAGAACACGGGTTAAATTCCGTTTTTTAAATAATTTATCCCATTCGAACCATTAATCTCAGCAATCTGAAACTCCACACAGAGCATCGAAATATATTACAGAATGTACTTAAAGAATTTCCAAAAATTGGCTGCATTTTTAACCTCGCTTGAATATCGTTAATAGAATAAAGGCTAATTAAAATTCAATTAATTTACGTCCCATCAATAATTTGTAGTTCAGCAGTTCAGAAGTGATTATTTTCAAGTCCCCCAACAATCCCCCAAAATCAGCTGCCATTCTATCACGCGGGATTATGTTTGGAGAGAAAAGGGAGCGCAGGCTATATGAATTCAAAACACTAAACTCGTACGAATTGATTAGTTATCAATATCCATTCAGTAAAAATGAATATTCCATAGAATTCGGGCGCAACAAGCGCGGTACATTGGACCGCTGATCCCTTTTTTTTCTCCGCTCTACAAGCGTGCGGAGTAGGGTATACGCACTCCCGGAATTCCACTCTCCTACTGTTCCGAAGGTATCTTATATACACGGGGAGAAATGTTCAGTAAAAATTACGGAACTCGCAATTCACTCACCGATTACGGAATCGACTCAGAAAATTTAAGTGACGGTATCGTAATTTTTCACAGGAGATTCAGATAAAAATTACGGAACGCTCCAGAATAATTCCGTGACAGTTCCGGAAAATTTTCTACAACCAAATTTCGCTCCGGAATTACGGAAAAGATACTTAATTTTTATTGAATATTTCTCTCCGTGTAAAGCCTTGACTGTAGTTTTAGGCTGTTTGCAAAATCCGTTTCGGATTCTACACAGGAAAAAATTTCCAGACATCTCCAGACATTTTCCTCCAAATCTTCGAATTCTCAAATTAATAATATAAGAAGAGAAATGCTCAGTAAAAATTACGGAACTCACAGTTCGCTCACCGATTACGGAATCGACTCAGAAAATTTTAGTGATGGTATCGCAATTTTTCACAGGAGATTCAGGTAAAAATTACGAAACGCTCTGGAAAAATTCCCTGATTCTAGGTAAAAATTACGTGACAGTTCCGTAACATTTCCTACAACCGCATTGCGCTCCGGAATTACGGAAAAGACACATAGTTTCATTGAATATTTCTCTACATGTAATTCAAGGCCGTATATTCCGCTCATTATCCCTCCCCTCCCGGAATCCCAAATCAATCTCTCCTGAATGTCATAAATTCCTCCCTCGCCCACCAATTCATGGACTCCTACCAAATCCCCGATATAATCGCACTCCCACTCGGCCCCCAAAAAAAATCCCCGAATTAAAATTTCAATCATCTCACCTACAGCCGCAACTTAATCCCAAACCGGTTCTCCCATTATTACGAGAACCAGACATTTTCCTGCACTGAATCCATACTCAATGGTGAATAAAAATGCATGAACTCATCATTAATGAAAAACCGATATCCACGATTGAATCGAATTTAATGGGAACGATCACCGACGACTGAAATCCATAGATGTCCACCTGCAACAGGTGGTTTTTGTTGTATTAACACCACGTACAACTGTACGGTATCGCACACATCATCATCGCAACGTCTGGGATTATAGCACAATGGAGGACTGAATTTCATTTCTACAGAGTGCACAAGACGACTGGTATAGACGGTTGAAAAGAAAACGAAATAGTTCTGCAGTCACACGTGCTAGCCCTATGCGGTCACTCTATAGCGGAGGGAGGAGGGCCCCAAACAAGTCAATGCTCCACTCTCATCCACTCCAAGGTCAATCTCAGAGGAAATGAAAATAGTGGAATTGAAAAAAATAAAACGATGGGGAGAGCAGTTAGAGGAGATATCAAGACCTGTTAAGTGCAAATCATCATATTTTCCGCAAAAATCAACAGATTTCAAAAAATCTAATACTGTTGTATTTTTAAGATTTCAAAGAATATTCTTTACTTTAAACTTTTTTTGATACGAATCAAAATGGAAGCGATACATATATTTAAACAATTGGATTGTTGAGAACTTTTTAATGCTATTGATTAATTGATGTAGTTGCACTCGTTATTATCATAGTTATTCACATAATTTATAATTTATTGAAGTATATTGATAGAACAAATGTTCTTAGGAGAGATGTGATTCTCATTTCTGGATTTTAGTTATGCGATTGTTAATAATTATGTGTGGCACTGCTTATTTGCAACAAAAGTTATGTACGAATAATCATTGGTTATGTATGCATGTATTGATGATAAAAATAAAACGATGGGGAGAGCGGATTTTTCACATTTTTATTCGT